GAGACAGAGAGACAGAAAGTGAGAAATCACCCCCCAGGGTGGATGGTCATGCCACAATCCCTTCTCTTCCATTCTCCTCTCGGGATCTTGGGCACACATGTACACAGAGCCGGTGTGAGTTTAAGCCACCAGGTCCGGGACTCGAACCACAGTTGACTACATAGGTGTCTAGCGACATAGCCATTACACCATCTGCTGATTCCAAAAATTAAATAATTCTTTATAAAAAAGAGACATAGTGGAGGGACCAGCAGATGGCATAATGGTTGTGTCACTGGACTCCCACATGGCTGATCACAGTTCGAGTCCTGGACCTGATGGCTTGAAACTCACGCCAGGTGTGTGTGTGTGTGTGTGTATGCATGTGCATGCCCAAGATTTCAGAAGGACAATGGAGAAGGGATTGAGGTGTGGCCATCCCCCAGGGGATGGTTTCTTGCTTTCTGCTTCTCTGTCTCTGTCTCTTCGGTGAGCACATGTGCCCTATAGCAAAAATCTCTCTCAAAAAAAAAAAAAGGAAAAAGAAAAAGAAAAGAAAAGAAAAGAAAAAGAAACACACAGTGGAGAGACTGTGGTGACGCTTCTGCACCCCTCAGGCTCAGGGTCTAAGCCCGCCTCCAGCCTGCCTCCCCCAGGAAACGGGAGGAGACACACAAGGTGTCTACAGAGAAGTCCTGCCACAGACAAGGAGAACCGAGGGCCGAGTGAGCGGAGAGGCTGATCGCAGGGCGCAGGGGCACGGTAGATCTTCAAGAGCGCCTCCTTGTGTTCAAGAAATTGCTGACATGTGTGGCCTGCGAGACAGCACAGTAAGAAAGGGGGAAGGAGCATCCGGCCAAGGGGCTTGAGAAAGACAACGGGAACTGAACAAGAGGAAAATACTAACCAACCTAAAAACACTCAGGCAGAACTGGTATCTGTATTAGAAACGGCACAAAACACACATTCTACGGAAATGGAGTCGGCCATGCAGAAAGAAAATGCACGTTCCTCCAGGAGACAGAGGGGAGGGCAGGGACTGGAACCATGCGAAAACACACATTCTACGGAAATGGAGTCGGCCATGCAGAAAGAAAATGCACGTTCCTCCAGGAGACAGAGGGGAGGGCAGGGACTGGAACCATGCGCCATGCTCGGGAAGAGATCCCGTGAGACTGCCACATGGGAAGACCCACAGCTGTGCTCGCCGTGGCCTGATACTAAGCCCCAGGGCACCCCCAGGTCCAGAAGGGCCCCAGGGTGGTCCGGCCACCCGGCCCACAGCCAACTCTGGAGCCCAGGGAGACACGAACTCCGCGAGGGTTCGGATGCCGCCAGGTCTGCCCTCGGCAGTGCGTGTCTGGGAAGTCCCCGGAAACTCGGACTCGGGACCTGCTGGCGCCGGAGCGGTGTTCGGGGACAGCGTAGTTCCTTCGTGGTGTCCAGGGTAGGGGCCCTGCTGTGACCAGCTCATGAGGGCATTAGGGCTCCCATGGCTCGGTTCTGGCTGGTTCTCGGCAGAGGGAATGAGACCAGCAAGGGAGGACACGCGTGGATACAGACGTGCTCTGCTCTGCTCTGCTCCGAGGCCCCCCTCCCGCCATTTTCAGACGCCTCC